GTATTTAAGCGCTCAGTGTGTCATTTGAGTAATCTAGGAGAACAAAATTCCAAATGCAAAAAAAATCTACACTTTTGCGTACATTTATAAGTATAGTAACTACATAATGCAAAACAATAGAAATGAAATGAGTAAATTATAAATTTTTATTGCTATATCGATAAAAGAAATTTATGCAAAACTTTTTTTTTAAAATAGAAAATTACAATTTTCATCAAACAAAAGAATTAACTCAATTATTTGGTATCAGTGGTAATAAAATATTTTTTGAATGAGTCTTCAGGTGTGTCTTTAAAATCATTTCTTAGAAAGTCTCACTTAGCTCGCTTTCTAATAAATTAAACAAATCAGTATTCATTTTAGCATTCTTAGCCTTTTTTTCTTTTACTTTTTTATTCTTAGTTTGTTAGTAATATTCCTAGGACATACTCTCAAACTTACGAACAAGATCCAAATTTGAAGTAAGATTACAGATCCGGATCTGAAGATATTAAAAGTTCAATAAATCCATGGTTGTGTCTATTTGTTATGCTTTCCTCGTAAAGTGTTCCCTTTGTTGCTTGTTGTGTTTGTTTTAAGGCTGTTTAGCCTCTTTCTTTTTATTTTTGAGAAAATTTTTTTTAAAAGAATGTTTGATGGGTCAACAATACCAAGTAGATGATTAGGCAGGGTTTTTTCAAACTATGGTTTGAGTATCCCCTATAGAACAGTAAGTTTTAATTTGCACCATAGACACACTGAACAAACTTTCATTAGTTAAACTCTGCTTCATAAACCTCTGATTCGTTTGATTGCTATTTAAGGACAATTTAATTTCTATTAATTTTATGTAGGGTACCAATGGTCAACCATGCTCCAATAGTTAGATAATTTGTTTTAAATCCACCATAATAACCACCAACATCCTCCCAATAAATCGACTTAACCAATAGGACTGTCACAAATTATATTGTTTATGTATATATATATATAAGATATCTTTACTATATATATAAAAAGGGCTAAAAGAAGATAAGGATAACATTACGTTATCACAAGCCTCAAAGAGAAGCGAACATTCACACAATTTTTACAGAGAAGACACAACGTTATCACAACTATTCACAGAGCCCCGTTGTATTGTTTAAATAATATATTGCAATGGTATAAAATTCGTATAAAAATAAAAATAAGAATATTAAGTCAAACAAACAAAAAAATTAACTAAAAAACAGGAAAATTTTTTCTGGCGATCATCACTTTTTAAAAACTTATCTTTTTGTTTGAAACTTAAATGAATTTAAGGACTTAACCATAAATTTATATTTCTTTTCACAGTCATTCTATCATTTAGGTTCTTAATAAGTTTCCATTTGATCTAAGATTAGAGTTTTTATTTAGATTTATTTCAAACTTATTATTGAGGTTTACTGGCAAGAGGTTGCTATAGTATCTAAACATAAAAATAAAATCCTGATAGATATTTATTTTAAATATATCCTTTTGTATCTTTTATAGAAGGCCATGCTTGTTTTTGCTTATGTTTGGCGTATATAATTCTGAAAGCATGTTTTTGTAGCCTATAAATATTTTAAAGTATTGTTGTTTGTTGTTTGCATACTTGACCATAATATGTTTGCTTGTAAATAAAACAGTAATTTAGCTAAAAAGATATTAATTTAAGACTTAACATTTTGACGTATGTCAAACTCGATACATTACGCCAATGATTTTGTTTGTTTTAAACAGAATATATTTTATTTGACGAAACCAAAATAAAGTTTAATTGTCTATGTATTAAAGATGAAATCCAAATTCCTTTACAATGGAAGCTAAATCCTTTTTCATTTTTTACTTCGGTTTATTGCCGTCGTCAAACATAGCTTCCCAGTAGGCATGCGTTGTCCTACGGACGTCTTACGGACGGTCTGGAGGTCCGTGAGACGTCAAGATGGTTATGCCTATTTGACTCTATAGAGTCAAGCAGCCATATAAAGTGCAACATCTCTTATAGAGTCATATTGCCATAAAAGTGCAAGATTCCCTATTGGAGATGTTGCAATTTTCTTTTGAGTTTTTAGGCTGAAAGTTTTTGTTGGCCTAATTAGGTGTGGAGATACTTTGCACACTTTGAAACATAGAATTAGGGAATTCATGTTTTTATATATCTAAGTTTGTATTTATCAATGAAGTACTGCAGATATCTTCCTGTTTTTCTTTATTTTTTCTCTTTATTTAAACGTTTATTTAAAGCTTGTAATTTTAATTTTTAAACACTTTAAAGCTGCATCAGACATTCCAACGACTCTTATTCCTTTAATAACGTAACTCATCATTCCTCCAATAACGTAACTCATTATTCCTCCAATAACGTAACTCATTATTACAAAAGACTTAAAGTTTTTTTGATGTTTGTAACTATATACCAAAAGAGCTATCAAAGAATATTTTTTTTTTTAAAAAAGAAAACATTTATAACTGTTGCGTAAGAATGATTTACGCGCAAAATGTTTTTTTTTTT